CCCCCCCCCCCCCCGCACACTCAGGACTCAGGTGACCTCACCTGGACTACAGCCTGGGTCTCTCCTGGCTCTGTCAAGCCCTGCAGAGCCTTCATTTCTTCTTTCTTTTGCTTTTCTGCTTCTTTTGTGGCTACTCTTTTCTGGACCTGGTTTAAAAAACATTTTTTTTTCACATTAGAAAAGGTTTTAGAGTAGCTTCAGACACTGGGAGACAATTTATAGCATGTAAATTTGGTGATAAGAATGCAACTTATATTAAAAGTAAATTCTCCAGTAATTTACTAAAAGTTTGTGCATTGCTAGTCCTGCTCTTGCTCTTCCCAGACAGAGCAACGCTGGTCTCGCAGCTCACAGGTGTGGGCAGGCCAGAGCCTTGCTCAGGGACCTGCTTCTGACTGCAGACTGTGCTTCTCCACATGGGGCTCCTTAAGAAAGAGCCTAGACGTTTGTTCACATCTCAGGTAGCACTATACCCTCTCTCCCTTTCCCCTTCCTTCTCCCTCCCTCCCCTCCCCACAGGCCAGCTTGGCCAGGTTTCCAGCAATGTTCTTAGCTCGGCCTCCACGTGCTGAGATCAGGGCATGAGTCAGCATGGCTGCTTTACGTCCGTCACTTCCTAAATGCAGAGTGCAGTCTCATCAGGCTGTGAAGGCCAACTCACCCTCACCTCAGCCTCGGTTGGCCTGCCGTCTATCTTAGCAAACCCCTCAAAAATGGCTTTGTAGAGAAGGTTTCTGCGTGTGGTGCTGTCATCTGGAGGAAGGTGTTCCAGGGTGAGGGCTGGGTGCTGTCTGTACATGTCCAGGATGATTCTGACTGCTGTCTCTCGCACCTCATACACCTTGTGCTCCAGGGCGCTCACTGCAAACTGCAAAGAAAACAGTGTCAGCTCTGCTAATGATTTTCTGAATGAAAAAGTTAACTTCTCTCAGCACAGAAGCGACCTGAGTATGCTGCAAAGACTTGGAAAATAAATATGAGGCCCAGAGGAGACAAGCACGAGGGAGCTGCAGCACAGCCCTGCACTGTCCTGCACACAGTGGGGCCACACCACAGCCCTGCACTGTCCTGCACACAGAGGGGGCCACACCACAGCCCTGCACTGTCCTGCACACAGTGGGGCCACACCACAGCCCTGCACTGCCCTGCACTCAGAGGGGCCCGCACCACAGCCCTGCACTGTCCTGCACACAGAGGGGGGGCGCACCACAGCCCTGCACTGTCCTGCACACAGAGGGGGCCACAGCACAGCCCCGTACTGTCCTGCACACAGCACACTCATGCCTGGTGTTGTGCTTTCCTTTTTCCATGTGGCGGGGATGTAGTGCCAGGATTAGTTGAGATTACAGAAGTGTACAGCCAGTTGTATGTGGTGTTGTGGATCAAACCTGGGTTTTCATGTGTGTCAAGTGAGGACTCGGTCTGCTCCCCGCTGCTGATGGTGACCTGTGCACTCCACCCTCTCACCAGACAGTGTGGACACAGCAGGAAGGTCCTAGCTGCTCCCACAGGCTCACATTCGACAGCCTTGCTCTATACCGCGGCGCTCGGGCCAGTGTCAAGCCGCACGAGGCTGGCTCACCTTCATCACGTTGTCCACGGTGAAGCCTGAGCTCTCAGTGCCCAGGTCTTTCAGCAGCCGGGACAGGAGGTCCACCTGGCTCATTGCCAGGTGAACAGAAGCATTGGCCTTCAGTGGCTGCACCAGGTAAGACGGAATGAGCTGGAGAGACTTCACCTCCTTAAACAAGGCCATTTCCTATAGGACACAGCAGAGTCGTTAACTGCTAGGTAAAAGCTGGGAGTCATTTAGTACAACTTAGCATGACGTCACACTGAACCCCGAAGAGAGCAAACAGGGAAGTGAGGGACAGAGACAAGCCGCAGGCAGGCTATGAATGAGAGCTAGGGATTCTGGGAAAGAATCAGAGAGGGGGAAAACCACAGACCTGAAGCAGAAGAGATCAACAGGAGGGTTAGGAAAACCTTACAGAACACAGTGAGAGCCCCAAGGCTTCCATTCCATTCTTGGTGTTACTCAACTAAGATGGAGACTTGTTCTCAATTTAAAATTTGGAAAGTGATTAAGCTTAGAGCAGGACATTCAGAGTGTCAACCGTTCTTTGTCCAGTATGGTTACTGGTGAAAGAACGCAAGCCCCATCCATTGCTTCAGTTGTTGGGTGACAGGTCTCACTATATAGCCTAGGCATCCTTGAACTTACCACACGGTGTGACATATGGTAACAACCTGTCTTTGTATGTGGGCCATGAGTGATGGCTCAGGAACAAAGGACACAGGCACAGCGAATATGGCCTCTGGGGGTCAGGACAGCAGGTTCCTGAAAGAAGTGGGCCTGAGGGTGGTGACTTTGAAGGTTTATCTATTTTCTATGTGTGGGTGTGTCTATGTGCACTTGTGCTCTGTGTCTGCGTGCCACATGAGTGCAGGTGTCCTTAGCGGCTCCTGCGGAACTGAATCAGGAGGGTGTGGGAAGTCATGCCTGGGTGCTGGGGACCCAGTCATGCCTGGGTGCTGGGGACCCAGTCATGCCTGGGTGTTGGGGACCCAGTGCAGTCCTGGTGACATTTGGCACAAGGTAATCCCGATGGAAGAAGCTTCAGACTACCCAGAAACTAATGGAGACCCGCTCCTGGAGCCCTAGCACAGGAGGCTCAGGCAGGGACAGTGAGTAGAGGGCAGCATGGCTATGACTGAGTGTGGTGGCGCACTCCTGCAGTTCTGGGAGGGCTGAGGAGGGAGGGGCATGGAAGGTGGCCTGGGTTATATGGACAGACCTGGCTCTTAAGGAAAAACAAAAATCAAACCAACTCCCTCACTGACACCTTCCTGCCCCTGTCTTTCAAGGGCTGACACATCTTTAGCAGTGACATCCTGTTCACTTGTTAAGCCTTGTGCTACAAGCACACTGCAGCACTTGTGTTCTGCTTGCTTGCTTTATTTTTTCCTATTTGTTTTCCCAGAACATTAAGTTTCTTAATAAAGCCAGGCCTTAGATTATTTACATTTTGAGAAATGACAAATGTTCCAATACAGATGTATGCACTCACAAAACTTTGCATCAAATTTTAAGGCATTCCTAGATTTTCTCAAGCCTGGATAACAGAGATTAACTAGAGGATCCTGAGTCTGCTGGGTGGTTCACCCCTGTGATCCTGGGTTGGGGAGCCCGAGGCAGGATGCATTAAACCCTGCCTCATACTAAGAAAAAAAAAACAAAACAACCTTCCTGAACTGTTCTTGCTCTCCTCTTCCTTTTGTTAACAGTCCTCTGGGCGACTCTGCCGTACTTATTCTGTGCATGTGTGTGGTGCGAGCATGCTCATGACACCGGGTGAGGGTAGAGGGCAGAGGTTTCCCTCAGTCCGGTGGGTCCACCTCAGTTATTGAACTCAGCCGTCAGTCAGGCTTGGGGGCAGGCACCTTTCGCCCACTGATTCGTCTCACAACCTTTTCTTTTCTTCCTGTGAATGGTGTGCATACATATCTATGCATGTTGGCATGTGTGTACATACATGTTGATGCCCAAGGCTGATTTCAAGGATCTTCCAACATAGCTCTTCCACTTTATTTTGAGGCAGAATCTCATAATCAGACCCAGTGACTGCCGATCTGGCTAGACTTGCTAGGCAGTTTGCTCCATGGATACTATCTGCACCTTCCACGTCTGGGACTAAGGCAAACCACCATGCCTACCTGGTATTAATATGGGTTCTAGGGATCTGAACTGTGAGCTAGCAACGGCTTTAACTGCTGAGCCGTCTGTCTAGCTTTATACATTCCTTATTTCCGTCTCCAATAAGCTGGGTGTGGTATCAAGCCTGCATCTGAGCACTTGGAAAGCTAAGGCAGAAGATCTGAAGTAGCCAGCCTGGAATCTACATGAACTCAGGTCCAGCCAGCATTACAGAATGAGACTCTGTCTCAAAACAACAAAGGCTTTTGTCTACACAGAGCTTGTCCCTCCAGCACTAGGGGAGCATGAGGGCAGGTGTCTGAGGCTTTGCAGTACAGAAGAACCCTGCAAGGCAGAGTCAGACAGCAATAAGACAGTGACAGGGAGTTCTGACCTGGATGAAATTCAAGGCCATGACACGGAGGCGGGCAGAGGAGTCTCCGGTTCTAGCGAGTAGAAGGGGGATAGCTCTCTCCACACAGTGCGTTGTGTCAAGTTTGCTCAGCTTGTGCTTGGGAATATACTGTGTAATTATCATTTTCAGCAATTTCAATGAGGCCTGAAAGACCTGAATAAAATGAGGTAGACAGATCAGCTGTGTGGGGGGAGTTCAAGAGGAAGTCAGCAACAAACGTGAACCTTAGATGATAAACTGCTTCCATGTACAGCAAGCACCTCATGCCCAGAGCCCTGCACCCCACCCGTTCCCTCCGCACTTGACGCTGCCGACCATGTGACAACAGCTCTCCATCCTGAACTAACCCTTGTCCTCAACCTGTCCTGTCTGCAGTGCTCATTCTAAAGCCTTCTCAGAGCTGCAGAATCTAGGTGACTCACGGCCCCTTGAGAAAAGCAAGGAGAGCTGAGTGCTGTCACACCACCTCTCTGCTGAGATTGATGGGAAAACAAGAGGCTGTACAAAGCTGAGGAAGTGCCCAGGCAAGGATGGCCCCCTCCACCTGTCATTCACCCAGCCTCTTGCTGGGACCCCTCGTTCCTGGTTTCACTGAAAGCTAAGTCACAGTTCTATCAGTGACCTGGGGACAGGAGGCTAAGGGACTTACTGAGGTCACAATGTCCTTTATGGCTCTTCTGATGAGAAAGACAGATGCTCTGAGCATGTTCTTCAAATCTTCCTTCTGCGTTCCAACAGGCATCTCCATCAGCTTCTTGTACAACGCCAGCAGTGCATCTTCTCGGCAGGACCACATCTTAGAATAGGCCCCAGCCACCTGCAGGAAACAGCAGGCCTGCTTTAGCTCAGGAGGTGGCCTGTCCAGCACCACACAGACACCCGAGGCTGCCTGTCAGCTCGCATTTTAAGCGCTTTACTAGTAGGGAGCTGTCTGCAGGTGGAGCTGTGTTCATGGGAAATGGAGGCCTGAGACCCTGCACACTGGGAGGACACGGATTCCTGCAAGCTGACCTCCACAGTCAATGGCAGGATATGCATACGATATACACACAGACACAGAGACACACAGATACACACACACACAGAGGCACACAGACATACAGTCTGACACACAGATATACAGACAAACACACACAGACATACAGACTGACATACAGATACACACACACACAGGCACATAGACATACAGACTGACACACAGATACATATGGACAGGCACGCAGACACACAGACTGACACACAGATACACAGACACATACAGACACACAGACTGACACACAGATATACAGACACATACAGACATACAGTCTGACACACAGATACACAGACACATACAGACATACAGACTGACACACAGATACACAGACACATAGACATACAGACTGACACACAGATACACAGACACATACAGACATACAGACTGACACACAGATAGACAAACACACACAGACACACAGACACACAGACACACACGTTAAACAAAGTAAAAACAATCGCAGCTGTCTTCCCTTCTTTCTCTCTGTGTGCTCGGTTTGTGTGTGTGCGCACATGTGCATGCCCTTGTGACTGTGTGCATAACTTGGTTTTCCTTTTTTACCAAGGCTTCTCCTAAGGTGTCGATGGCAGAGCTGGCTTCTCTCAAGGCCTTCTCTGTCAAGGGCTCTGGTTCCCCTGAGACACCCCGTCTCCGGACGTCACTGTCTGCCTCTCTCACTTCTGGCTCTGCGGATGCTTCCCCCAACTGCTTTCTAGTAACAGGCAGAGGCCGTTCATCATAGGGCAGGGCTTCCATCTGTAAGGTAAGCAGAGGTGAGCCAGTGCTGTGAAGCTGAGGCTCTGGGCGGGGGCTGTGCCCAGGACGCCTCCTCCACAGCCTGGTGGGCTGGGATCCTGGGCAAAGAGTCTGAAGTCTGCTAAGTCAGCATCAGGTTAGAATAATTTCTACACATGGATTATAACTGGAAAAATCAGATGAAGCCTTCCCTTCCCATCTACCTCCCATCCGGTTCAGCCGACAGGAAGCCCAGGAGAACGGTCATCCTTATTTCTCAGACTAGTCTGGTGACATTCTTCTACTGTACTAAATATGCTCATTATCTGGAGGGCTCAGAGCCAGCACAGCCCCCTGTGGGGCGATCAGGACCGGGCTTCCTCTGGGGTGCTCCTTGGGCAGCTGCCTCCCCAGTCTTCACTCCTCCAGCACCTGGCTCACCAGCCACCTTTCTGCTGCCCACACAGCAGCGAGGATGGACCTTCTGCCCTCACAGCTGTGTCCCGTCAGAGACAAAGGCACAGAATTTAAAAGGTGAGCACACAGTGGTGAGAGCCGAGAGGGACCCTTCCTGACTGGGTCCTGGAACCTTGACAAGGGTGACAAGTCCTTGACCCTTCCTGAGACAGTAGGTGAATACGCACCTGTGAGAATACATTTCTCCAAGTCTGAAATCACAAGGGCCAACCCTGAGTCAACGTGGATGTCTCAACTAGACTGCAGAGGCACCACCACGCTAAGCCGACACACGAGCACAAGGCCCCTTCTGCTTTGCAACAACATGCTCTGGAAGGCCTGGTGTGGCCAGCCAGCACAGGCATCTCCTGTGTTCTGGCTGCTGTTTCAGAGGCTGGCCACTGTCAGTGATCTTGCTGGTCTGAAGTGAGGACCCCTTGGCAAGATGTTCTCCTCTGGCAGTGGGTAGCCAAGGGAGACAGGAGCTGGAGAGTCAAGTGATATGAAGAACCCAGGCTTCTGATGAGACTTGAGCTCCTGAGTCAAACCCATCCTGGAACCCACAGGACCTGCCATGCTCCTTGTTAGAACCGGCAGTACAGAGTCCTATTTTCTCAGGTTTTCTGTTACAATGCTGTTCTCAAGGCTGTGACCATGGATACATGGTGCTATGTGGAGAGTAGGTATAGCAGGATTTACCCGTTTACTGAGGCAGGATCACTCTATGGCTTAGGACGTCCTGGTACTTGCTTCACAGTCTAAGCTGAACCGATGGCAATCCTGCCTCGGTTCTCTGAGAGCTGCAGGCATGTGTGTCTCACACATGCTCTTACACCTTGAAGCAATACTTGAGGCAGTTGTAAATATCTTCTTTTAGAAAAACCAGGGGTTCAAAAGATAAGACTTTGTGAGGCCACAGATGAAGAACTACAGATGTGCCTCTCAAGGGGTGTGGCCCACAGGCTTCTGCTCCCTCCCCTCTTGTTCTGCTCTAGCCCCTGGTGCAGAGAGGGCTGGCCCTGCAGGAGGCATGCACCGGTGCTGAGATCAGCACCCAGGACAGGACGACCCACACTGTTGATGACTGTCAGGCTGGGGAAGAGTAACTTACATGGCTCCTTGGGGTGGGGCCTGCAGCAGGTGGGGACTGATCTGCTGCCGAATGCTGAGGGGAAGATGCCAAGGGCTTCTCCTGGAGGATGGGGCCAGCAAACGTGTCTTCAGCTACCAGCTCTTCTGTTCGAGGGAGTGAGGACACTACCTTCCAGTGCTGGGGACTGCTGGGAGACGCGAGGGGCTGGAGGGGCAAGGCGAACGGCCTCTGCATCTGGAGGGAAGACGGGACAAAGGGCGTGACTACTGCTGATTATCTGAGCGAAGGAAGACTGTCCTGAGAGGAACCTGGCATACCAGAAGTAAGAACACCTCACGAGTGCATAGTGGGCCACTCTAAGTTCCAGGACCATGACATCTCCTCAGCTGTGCCTGCCACAGTTACAGCGCAGACTACAGAGCAAGGCCACATACCTGACTTAGCATGGCCATGGGTGCCTGTGCAGTGTTGACCAACATCTGTGCTAGAAGCACAATGGGCAAGGCCCTGGGTTAGAACCGGGCCCTGCAGTTAACAGCGGTCAAGTGATTACGCACAATGCAGACAGGCAGAGCTACCTGGCAGGGCTGTCTCAGGTAGCACCCGGGGCTCTCACTGGTCTATGCTTCTACTTGGAAGAAAGGCAGAGACATGCAGCCCATTAGCACCAACCTGAGGCTGGCAGACTAGAGAGTGGGACTGGTGAGATTTGGTAGCCTGTACTCAGCACTGAGCACCCTCTCCCTCACCTGTACTCAGCACTGAGCACCCTCTCCCTCACCTGTACTCAGCACTGAGCACCCCCTCCCTCACCTGTACTCAGCACTGAGCACCCTCTTCCTCATCTGTACTCAGGTCCAAGCACCCCCTCCCTCACCTGTACTCAGCACTGAGCACCCTCTTCCTCATCTGTACTCAGGACCAAGCACCCCCTCCCTCACCTGTACTCAGCACTGAGCACCCTCTCCCTCACATGTACTCAGCACTGAGCATCCCTTCACACGTGCTCAGCACTGAGTACCTCTCCCTCACCTGCCATGTAGTCATCATCTGCCTGCATGAACTGTAAGAGGAGGGACGGTGTGTCTTGCTAGAAGTCTGTCTCCATCCAATTAGACTATTCCATTGCATTTCACATCCACAGGCACATAGTTCAGGTACCACACCCCATACAATATAGAGACCAGTCAGAGGGATCCCGAGGCCTTCACCTTCCTGACTCTGGGCTTTGTGAACTCTGGAAGATCTCATCAGAGCAGAGACCTACTGACTGCTCAAGATATGGGGTACCTGCCTAAGCCTTCAGGGAGCTGAGCACAACCCTGCTCAGCCCTTCCCTCTCTCCCACGTGCCCCCATCCTGTGGCCTGCTCTGACCTCTGGCTCGCCCTGCAGAAGGCCGTGCAGTTCCAGCTGCTCATACACCTGGGCACGGTAGCGAGCCATCTGCTGCTTCTTCTCCTTGGCCAGGTCATAGTCTTCCTTCTCCACCGCACAGCGCTTCTCCACCTCATAGCGCCCCAGGCGCTCACCGACCTGCAGCACACAGCATGGGTATCTGCTCTCGCAGGACACGTGTAGGAGGGGGTCTGCGCTGCGTGCTGTCTCAACACCCGGCACTCAGGAGCCCCCCACGGCCAAAGCCCAACCCCCACAGGAGCAGTCAGCCTCTGGCTCACTGCCCTCCACACTACACTCCCTGCCTGGGACGCTAACTCCATCTCTGCTCCTCAGCACTCAGGAACCCTTCTGCAGAACAGACCCAGCCTAGGCAGATGAGGGCATGTTCTCTGAAGCTGTACCTTCTGCAAGTCAGCGATCGCTTGCTTCAGTTTCTTTGCATGGTCGTAGCGCTCCTTCTTGACAGCTTCCCGTTTCCTTTCATCCAGCCTGCGGATGATCTGGGCAACTTCGGGGTCTTGGTACATGTCAAATGCCAAATCATCAAGTGGAGAGATGTAGTCAGATCTCCTAAGGAGAGAAGATGACTGACTCCTTCTGGTCAGGAGAGCCAAGAACTTATGCTGAACACACATGTGAGAAGGTCAGAAAAGGTCACAGAACTGTTCACAGGGTCTCCCTCGTGAGGGAGACGACTCAAGAGAGGCTGGTCAGGCTGCAGCCTGGGACTCCTGCTCCCAGGGCTTCACTGGGCTGCACGCTAGGCCAGGCCTCAGGCACACTCAGCACCCACGACTTGTCTGTAGTTATCACTGTTTTTCTAAAATTTTACAGCACGGCAGGAAGTACCTTCGTTCTGGGTGAGGAGGTGTCGCAGTAGCATGGGCCTGGCCACACCGCACACGCTCAGGGGACCAGTTTCAGAGTCTTGTATCTGTGACATCAGCTGCATCAAGTTTGACCCAAATGCAAGCTGTGACTTGGGTGGTTTGTATGCAGGTTAAGTTTATATAAATACTATCTGTCACAAAGAGTTTAGCTGGAAAACTTTCATAAGGTCAAGTGGGCCTGGGGTACAGGCTCCTTCCTGCTGTTCCCCACCCTCTCATCAGGCCCCCTGCCTGCCAGCCGTGACTGATACTGTGACCGACAGATGCAGCAGCCTGAGCATCCCTTCCACCAGTAATGTAAGGGCTGACACAGCGCTCATTACATCAACACTGTGCTTGCAAGTCTACACCACTTTGCCAGGATGTCCCAGAAACCAATACAAAGGTTTTATTTTTAAAAACCTCACCAAAAAAAAAAAAAAAAAAAGTCCCGTGGTGCCAGTCAGGAACATGCCCACTCTTAGGCAACACCCCAGGGCCAACCCAGCCCTCACGCAGTGAATCTCAGCACCGATGTTCAGGCGAGCCTCTCACAGTCTCTGTCTTCACAGAGCCCTGGGCCAGGCAGGCCGCACCACTAAAGATGGAAGCTCTGGCAAAGCACACCACAGTGTGCTGTGGCTGCTCTGTGCTTCAGGCTTCAGGGAAGGCAGAAACCAAGGCGTGGCCACCAGGAAGGAGCTGACCAGTGGTGACAGAGGTGACGGTACCCTTGGCTCTGCACACGCCTGAGAGTTAAGGCATGTTGGAAACGTATCACTGTTCTCAGGGACCTTTGCTAACCCTGAGCACACAGAACTGAAGCTCTCTGAAGGGCAGCAGTGTAGGTGTGCAAGAGGCACACTCACTCTAATCTCTGCACGGACACAAGACAACCTGACCAGTGGCTCCTTGCTCTCGCCTGACCTAACCGAAGAGTTGTAAAGTTTCTTGTGGAGGAATGGGGGAGGGATCTTACCCAGCAAAAGTTCCATCTAGGGCAGGGTCCTCAGGATTGTGGGGACTGTGGCCCAGGTAGTGGTCGATCAGCTTTTCCCTAGAGGTCTTTGGGAACAAAATAGCTTCTTAGACTCACTGCAAACAATGGACATGACAAGTCTTAATTTTCTTTTTTTTTTTTGTTTTTGTTTTTTTTTCGAGACAGAGTTTTTTCTGTGTAGCCCTGGCTGTCCTGGAACTTACTCTGTAGACCAGGCTGGCCTCAAACTCAGAAATCCGCCTGCCTCTGCTTCCCAAGTGCTGGGATTAAAGCCGTGTGCCACCACTGCCTGGTGACAAGTCTTAATTTTATAACTGCTTAAAAGAGAGGTGCCAGCAGGGCTCAGTGGTCCTGCCTGGTCCTCTGTACGAGCAGCTAAAATTCTTGAGGAAAATGTCCACTAACCTATCTGACAGCCAATCATAGTTGTATGACGGCTTCTGAATTGATACATTTTGTTATGAGAAATGCATTTTTATTTTTTAGAAAGTAATCGTTCATACTTACAATACTGCTCTCGTCACCCAAATCTGCGGGGTCTCCAATGATGTTTATTGCCACCAAAGCCACCTAAGAAACAGTTACATCATCAGAAGTTAAGTACAAAATGTTTGAGATGCCTTAAGCCCTTCTGCCAACTCTTGCCTCTGGTGTTATCAGGGAGGATGGTGTATCCCCATGTGCACTGGCAGTAAGGTCCACACACTGGAGAGAACTGAGGTGCTCGGGAGAGTCCTGCTGTTCTAAAGCTCTACCAAGTCTCTAGACAATAACCACTAACCTAGAGTTTCATCCGAGTCTCCCCAGCAGCCAGCACTCCAGGATGAGTGTGCGGTCCATACCCACTAACTAAACAGCACGCTTCACCCAGGTGCTGAAGCTCACCTCTCGCCCTTGGTGGAAAAGTCGCTTCTCTTTTCCACCCATCACTGCGGCCCAGGTCCTAATCAGTTCCTACTGGTGGGCACATGCAGATGAGGTGGAAGGAGAAAAACATCAGAAGTGGTCACTGAAGTTTCCCTCGAGGCCATGCTACAGTGGACCTTGAGACGTAGCTGTGTCTCACAGTTCACTTGCCCGACACGACAGAGTGACCTGCTGGCTTGCTCCTGCTCCCCTTGGAGGAGGAGTGAGTGGTATAGATGTGTGTGTGCTCACAAGGTTGTTTTGGACAAACTTGATTTCCTTTTTCAGAGTGGGACAGGGTCCTGGGGACTGAACTCAGGCCCTGAGCATGCTGGATAAGCACTCTATCACGGAGATACATCCGATTTTCCCTATTTCCAATTCATTCATCAAAAAGAAGAAAAAGCAGCAGTGCAGCCTGAGCAGCTGGAGTGGAGTGTCCTGCTGGATCCAGCACTGGCCGGCTGACTTCTATGGGGACTGGCCCCAGGCAGCTCTGAGGCCTCAGCTGTCACGCTGCCAAGGCCACAGGCTGCCAGTCAGTCACATATGCTCTCAGCAAATGAAAACATGAGGGGGAAACAGTCAAGCTACTGCACACGGGTGACATAAAACCTCCTGGAGCCTTTGCACTTTTTTTTTTTTATCTGAGTCTGGTACAGTCACAGAGGCTCTTGTATGCCCTGTAACCATGTACCTAGCATTGCCATATGGGACAGTCTGGGTGCAGAGAGCAACAGCCACCCCTACATCCACTCCTGAGAGCACCTGACAATGCACGAATGACGACACCTGACTCTCTTACAGAGCTGCAGGGTAAGGGAGCAGCGGGCAGGGCATGGGCTGTGCTGTCAGGACAGAGCCTTAAGCACACACACAGATCTCACCTGGTTATATATGTTGTACTTGTTGGCATGGTTTTGGTGAAAGATCAGCTTAAGGAACTGCCCCACAGCATCGACATACACAGACTTGAGTTCCCGGGCTTTGCAGCCTGTCTTTTCATTATCACAGAGAGAGACATAGCTGAAAGGAAAGCCATGGCTGAAGTACTGTTGACAAAGCCACCCCACTCCCACCAAATCCCACAGGGCCTAAAACAAAATTCAGGGACCTTGTAGGCTCCAATTAACACGCTTGAGAAGAGAAAAGATTTCCACCTAAGAAGCAGCCACCACCGACCTCACAGATGCAGACTGTGCCTGCTAAGCACAGGTCACAGAAGGCCAAGAGGCACAGTCCCTGAAGCTGTCACACTCAGGTCCACCACTACACACCCGGAGTTTCATCCTTACCCCAGTCTGCGGAACCGCTCTGCTTGGTACGGCACCAAGTACTCAGGCAAGCTTTCACTGATGTAGAACTCGACTTTACTGGAGATCATGTACTGGTGAGCAAGTAACTGCAGTTTCCTTATTCGACACCGCTCTACCATCTGGAGGACGATTTCTTGTGGAAACTGGCAGAATCTGAAAGCAAACGTGGGTTTGGATTTCCGAGCAAAGCCTGCAGCCTTTCTGTCTGCCTGCTTTCAGGCAGGGGAGTGTAAGGCCCAGCATGGCTGATGTGGAGGAGCCTGTATCTGAATGGAATACTTCCTCCCTTCCAAAACCTGGACCTAAGGCTGGTTGGCTCTGCTGGCCACCTGCAGACCTAACCTCAGGCTGTTAAAGACTAATGGCTGAAATGGAACTTTAAGCTGATAAGACAAATCAACCATTCTCATGACACTATATAAGCAGGCCAGGTAGGGCTAAAGGCTTCCCACAGAAACCTGAGGACTTAAGGGAAGCACCTGCTTGTAGGATACCAGGTGGCAACTTGCAGGAGGTGACTTCTGGATGTGCTCAGGGCTCCAGGGGTGGCTGAGCTGAAGCTTCTAACTTACACAGGACCTACCCACTGCAAGAGCACCACGTAAGACTTGGCTAGAACATTACTTCTGTCAGCAAGGAGCCCACACAGACAGCATGGCCATGACTCAGCAGTACAGTGTGTTGAAAGGACAGTACTGACATACATTAGCTAGCAGGCACTGTGGGCATGTGGAACAAAGGGAGCGCCTTCCTCCACAAGTATCAACATCACTGTGCCTGGTGATCTGTGTGTGTGTTTGTGTGTGTGTGTGTGTGTGTGTGTGTGATGTGTGCGTGCACGTGAGCTTTGCCATTGCTGGCCAGGTCTTTCTTTTCTCCATCCCACTCAGAAACCCTGTAACTGGGTGAGGCTCCTATGAGCTTCTTCAAGAGCGGAGGCACTTCCCCCAACCTGGGGAGCAGTTAGCCTGGACACCACTAGCACATCAGCCGCCTCCAGGACTCTGTTAGCCCTGTGCTCACCTCCTAGTTCTCTGACTTTTACAGTTCAGGGTAATGCTCTCCCATGGAGATCAAGCCTGACATCCTCATCAGATACACTGACAGCGCAGCTTGCTTTTGAAATGCTCAGTGGGTGAAGGTGCCTGCTGCCAGCTCAAGTCTGATCCCTGGGATCTACACGGTAATAAGAAAGACCCGATTCCTACAAGTTGGCCTCTGATCTCCACACACATGACACACATGCAGTTGGCACATGCATGGACAGAGACACAGTAAATGTACAAAATCACCTGGAAACTGAGAATGGTGTGCAGGCTCACACCACCAGCACATGCCATGTTCTACTGGAGTGCCATGCTCTGGAGACTAACTCTGGATCCCAAGGCTCGTGGGAAGACATGGCAGGAACTTACCTCATCCTGTAAGTACCACCTGTGCCCATCCCCTGTGCCCAGCACCCTGAGTGTACTTTCTGTAGCTCATTCTGACAGCACCTTGTCCATTTTGGTGACAGTTCATTTAAAGATATTTTCCCTTGCCTCCTGGCCAGGGGCACATACCCTTTCCTCCGGTATCCTCTGGAAGCATGTTACTAAAATGAATATAGTTATGACAAATACCATGCCAATGGAGTGTGACTGGCATAAGTACCACTACACAGAAAGCCCCAAGTGTCTATTTAAGAACCTTCATGGAGCTGGGCAGTGGTGGCGCACACCTTTAATCCCAGCACTTGGGAGGCAGAGGCAGGCGGATTTCTGAGTTTGAGGCCAGCCTGGTCTACAGAGTGAGTTCCAGGACAGCCAGGGCTACACAGAGAAACCCTGTCTCGAAAAGCCAAAAAAAAAAAAAAAAAAAAAAAAAAACCTTCATGGAATCGTAGGGCAGATGTAGCTACTGTTGGTGATCTCTGCAGGGGGAAACAGAAAACAGAGAGTGGACGCTTCACCTTCCGAAGCTGAAAGGAAACCACTGAACCGGGGGCTTGGGAGGAAAGTGGGTGTGGCTGGGGAGCAGGTGTGGCCCGGCCCAGCCCGGCCGCACCTGCATTGGTAGGTGCAGAGGACTGCATGCGGGGGCAGAGTGCCAAGAAGCTCGGCACCCACAGCCCCAGCAAACGCCTTGCTAGCCTATCAGCTCTAAGTCTCCATCTCTCAGAGCTCGGGCTCGGAGGAGAGGGGGTGCTGCTTACTAGGTCCTCTCAGAAACTCCAAGAGAAAAAATGTACTTTAACTTAATGATTTAACTTAGTCTTCACTGAAACATACCACATAGCTGTCTAGAAATGCATTTCATGCTTTCAGATCAGGAGGTATAAAGCCTACCACGTACTCAGACACAGATGTACTCTTAACCCCGCCCCTCAGCCCAGCCTTACTTTGGTGACCGCCACCCACTGACAGTCGGTGCATGGATCATTAGTTCCCGGGCACTGAAGCCATCTTCATGTCCAGAGGAGCTGACCACTACAAATCCAATCTTGTGGGGCATTCTGCACACACTGGCTGTTCAGAAGAGCAGGGAAGAGTTCTGTGAATGAATCCAACTCAGGGTTAGATGTACTGTTAGTTCATGTCATACAAGGCAAGCCACAGAGTTCTCAGAATTGCCCACCCCTCTGAAAAGGCTAGTGTGTCTACAGAACCTTTTAAATGGATGTTCTAGTTCTACTTAATGTGCCATTTAAGCTATTTTGATTTTCCTGAAAGTCTGACCTGTGCTGCAGGCTGAATTACATCCTTACTGATGACCATACCCTGCCTCTGCTGCATGTGATTATGACATAACTAGGCTCTCTGCAGATGTGATCACATTAATGGCGCCCTATTGGGGGGAACCCAATGTGGCTGGTGTACTTTAAGAAGAGGAAAAGGATCTGAGGGTGGGTATCACAGAGGAATAGTGCTTGCCTATCATACAGAAGACAAAGTGTGGGCTTCTCCAGAAACACGCATGCATACACATGCTCACACACTTGCACACACACCAAACGACCCTCCAATAAACACATACAGACCCCATACAACCCTTCAATAAACACACACAAGAAGTGGAGGCACAGACACACATAGGGTAGATGCCACATACAGACTGAGACTGGAGCCATCAGAAGCTAGAAAAGGCAGAGGACCCAGACCTCGGAGGTGCATGGCTCTGTGGCCACTTTGATGCTGGTCACCTAGCTCTGAAATGCACTTCTGTTGTCTACGGTATCCAATTTGTGATACTCTCATGGCAACACCAAAGCTTCTGGCAGGTTACAAGTGTCTTTCTGCATGATGGAGGAAACTAACAACTGGTAATGCACAGGAAGGAACTAACTGTTAGTAACTAATTGTTAGTGTAGCAAGAGCTGCCTAGTGTCAGCTTGTAGCCCTAGGGAAAGCAGTGTATACAAATGCAACAGGGCAGACGTGAGCACAGTTGGGCTGAGAGCCTGACTCAGGACATTTCAAAGTGTAACCCATGAATAAGCTGGATGGGGATCATCTGCTGGCCCCCAGATCCGAAGACTATGTGGAAAAGGGGACCACCCAGAGAAGCTCAATGTAGCATCTTGCTGGGTCACCTCCCCTCCCCTTGGAAGAACACAGGAAGTTGTCAGTCCCCCACCCCCCCGGAACCTGGAAAATCAAGTGGGGCAAGGATGGCTCTGGCCACAAGACAAGACTTTTGGCGTTGGCTCTCAGTGGAGACATGGGGACAGGAAGCAGGGGCAGCCCCCCCTCCCCATCCCCCAGTCCTAGTAAAGAAAGGGAAGCACTGCTTATTCTAATACAGAGTCTCCTGGAAGCTAAGTTGCCAAGATGAGGGGAGATATGGCGAAGCTTGAGGGAGCTTGAGGGGAACAACTGGCTGGACAATCCTTTCAATGCGACCTTGCAGGGAACAGACCTGTGTCCCAGTTCGCCCCTGTCATTTGGAGGATGTGATGCTGTCTGGCACCCTGCTCTCCACGCTGGAAAACAGCAGAGAGTGAGCTTGGCTGTGGTGACTCTGCATTTCCCGCCAACCCTGGCTGGAGCCTGCTGGCACTTTCCTAGGCTTGGATGGTCCATGAATCCCACACCCCTGCACAGTGAAGTTTATGAACAGGAACATACGTATGTGTTGCCCAGAAGAAGATGGTGACTATCTAGAGATTTCTCCCCAGAGACACAACTAACACTAGAGTCCAGAGCTGCTGAGGCCACCAGCAGAGGAGGGCCTGCCCAAGTGGAGCTAACCTTGCGGCAGCACTGCCAGAAAGCAACAAACACACTGGCCCTCGGATGTGATCATACTGAGAGCCTAAAGTGCTCATGGCCCCTTGGTTACTTCTGAGTTACTAAGCCATAGTGCTGAGGTAAATCGTCAGAAGAAAAACCGCTCCTCCTAACACAGAACAAAGGAATCCACTGGAAGTTTCAACACTGAAATATTCTACGGGCTCTAACATCCAAACCATCCCACAGGTAATCTGGCTGGGATGGGAACATGCTCAATGTGTAATCTACACCTTCCTCTTACTTCCACTGGATTTGAAAAGGCCTATTTCAATAACCAATGCCCGTCTGAGGGTTGCTAGTGCTTTTGGAATATACATACTAAATTATTAAGAGTTAGAATGGCAAGTCACTGTTAAAGATGCTACTCTGAGTTCCCTGTGGCCATTACATCAGAGTGGAGAAAACTGCCCAGAAAACTGTTAGGAGCAGTAATAAGCATGGCTGGGTGACTTAACAGCACACTTCTTCTTTGAGTTGTGAGACCATACTCCTAGCTCATTCAGGTTCTGAACCCGGAGCTAACTTCACTCAACCGCCATCCTCCCCTTTAACACCTGAGGGCAGCACGATGTGAAGGCTTACTGGATTCCACTCTTCTTCCTTATCCATACTCCAGATGGGTGCAATAGCCTGTTCCACCTATGGCTCCTGCCAGACATACATTCTTTAAATACAACATCAGTCACCTCTCTCCAGGTCTTAATTCCAAAACCCCAGGCAGCCCCAATCTAGGAGTTAAAGTGCTAACCCTGTCCTGACACTTTGTTTCCCCTTTCTCAACTCTTATCTTGGATTATTTTTGTTTTTGTTTTTATTTTGGGGGCAGAGTCCCTTATTTAGCCCTGACTGGCCTAGAACTCACAGAGACTCTGCCTAGGCATCTCAAGTACTAGGATTAAAGGTATGTGACACTGTGCCCGTTTATGACTTAAATTTTAGAGAATAGCCAAATCTAACGAAATTCTCCAATGCCTTGACCAGACCATTTTCAAGACCCTGTGTCAGGTGTGGTAGCACACACCTTTGATCTCAGCACTTTGAGGATTTCTGAGTTTGAGGTCAGCATGGTCTATACGTTCGAGGGCTACACAGTGAGACAATCTCAAAAAAAAAAAAAAAAAGGAGGCCTGTCTACCTTGTGCTCATCTGGGTCTGTCTCTGTGGTGCATGGAGATTTACAAACAGAATGTTAAGGGCAGATACAAGTGTATCCCCAATAAAATCAAAACAAATTACTGGCACTGAAGATGTCTGCAGGAGGGCTGTGGGGGCAGTGTGGCCTAAACACCGGGACCTCAATAAGGACATCTGCAAAAACATTCATTTTCAGACGATGCACTCACTGCAGGAGATCTTCCACCTCCTGTTCCTTCTCTCCGCACAAAGCCCACCACAGATACTTCTGGATCTGTGCCATAGCCTGGTCCACCTATGCTCCTGCCAGACAAATACTCTTTAAATCCAACTTCAGTCACTTTTGTTACTAGCTAGTCACCAGAGGCCAGTGGAGTTCCAGCTGCCCCTAGGGCAGCCACAACCAGCAGTGTCAAGTGACATTTACCCTAGCATTGCTTATAAATTAAGCCCCAAATCTTCTATTTTTGGTTGTGAGCTTACTCTGTCATCTTTCCAGACCTTAGCCCAAACTCAATGTAGCAACTTCCAAACATTTTGTTACAAGGATACGAAAAGTGTTTCCAGTTTTCTTTTCAAGAAAAAGTAAATGTTACAATATTAACTAATGATCTGAGACCAATTAATTTTAAGGACTGAGAGTGCTTTAGAGAATCTTAAAGCTTAAAAAGCATGACAAGTCAAATCCAGCGAACAAATAAAACCCCAAAACAACATGGATCGAAGTATAGCCTACCTGGAGTCAGAGCTACAAGTCTTTAGTCTCGTGGCAATTGGTCCTGTTCAGTAACGCATGCAGAAGAGGACAAGACGGGTCTCGAACCCTATTCCAGACACTAAAGCTAAGATGCGCTGCTGGGAGGCCTGGAGCAGGCGGCACTGGCCGCGTCCCTCCAAGGCCAGGCCAGGTGTCAGGGAGCCTCCGCCCCGGGTGCCTGCTGAAGATCGAGGCCGCGCGGGGTCACAGAGCGCCGCGGAGACGAGCAGGCGGGCCGCTGCGATGTCGGCCTCCGCTACCTTCGGAGGGGTCTCGGTCCAGCCGCCCCCACCCCGGGCCTCTGAGGCGAGGGCAGCAGAAGAGCAGCCCGGGCTGCCTCTGCCCAAGGCCCGGGCCGCAGCTGCGCTCCCATGGCAACCAGGCCGGCCCGCGCTGTACGCCTGCGCGTCCGCCCGCCAGCGCCTGCGTGCGCATCCAGGCCTCGCGGATTCCGGCTGGGGACAGGTCCTGTAGACGGACGTTTCCGGTTGCACCTACCTATATAGAGAAAAGGGTTCCGGGCCGCGCCTACGCACCACAGTTCCGGGAAGGAACGTTGCAAGGGTCAGTTCCCCCGGTCCAGTGCAACCAGAATCCGCTACCGCAGCCCTGCGATGTGCGCGGTGCTCCGCCAACCCAAATGCGTCAAGTTGCGAGCCCTACACAGCTCGTCCAAGTTCGGTGTGGCAGCTCGGAGCTGCCAGGAACTGCTGCGGAAAGGCTGCGTCCGCTTCCAGGTGGGTCCGGCATTGAGGGCGAGAGCTGCAGTGCGGGGACCCTGGCTTCCACCCCTACGGTTTCCATCCCCCTGCATGGGCTTGGATCGGCCCTGGGCTTTTGCAGTACCCTGAGCTGGCTGTCTGGAAGCCGGGACTGTTGTGGGACAAGCTGATCTTCTTGTCCTCCAGCTACCGGTGCCCGGCTCCCGGCTGTGCCTGTACGAAGATGGCACGGAGGTGACCGACGACTGTTTCCCGGGCCTTCCCAACGACGCTGAGCTCCTATTGCTCACCCCTGGTGAGACCTGGCACGGCTGTGAGTAGGAATACTTTGGAGATGGGAGGGTCCTACACGGTTTAAGGCCGCGTCTAGGAGCCCAGGCAGGAACCTTAGGATATCAGGTCAGGGGCGCTGAATGCCAGAAGCTTTTGTTGAAGAACTCTGTTTTTAATTTTGAAACTGGCAAGGGGGTAAGAGACTGGATTGAGACTGGGGAAGGTGCTGCTTTGCCGTGCTGGGCTGGGCAGAGCAGGGCAGGGGAGGGCAGAGCAGGGCCCCGTTCACCCTTGCTTAGAGCTATTCACCTACAGGTGAGTGGTGAAATGCTCACAGGTATCATGGTTTTCATTCAGGCTATTCTAGGTAGGTCTGATGACAGCTTATTGTGGTCTTAATATGAATTTCCCTGGTGGCTAATGGGATTAATCAGGTATCATCTTCCTATGTTCTTATTTGCTGCCTGCAGACACTCTTCAGTGAAGTGATTCTTCATATCTTTTGTGTTTCTTAGTTGGATTTGTAAAGGCTGTTCAAGTATTTACCCTGCCCCCAGAATATCCTGGTTATGAGTTCGATGTAAGATAATGTGGTTTTCAAATATCTCCTGTTGTGTAGCTTTTCATTCTCTTTATTGGAACTGAGCTCCAACTACGGAGCAAACTGGCCTTGCTCTTTTCACGCTCTGTACTAGAGCAAGGGAAAGGGGGAGGACAAGGTTGCATGTTACCGAGGCTGGCCTGTAGCTAAGGCTGGCCTAAAACTTCTGATTCTTCTGGCTCTACTTCCCACCTGCTCACATTCCAAGCATGTGTCCCCCAAAGCCAGCTTCCAAAGTTCTGACCTTGTTACATCTAGATTATCACTTCACTGTGCATTTACAATGACCAGGAACCTCTTGTCAAGTCCTGGCTGCCTGAGGTTTCCTCCTGCATTTTCTGCATCCGTTGGTATCACACGACCTGACTTCTTCAGCTTGTTAACAACACAGTGGATCTCACTGAGTTCTGATTACAAACCAGACTTGCAGCCTCATTTGTCTGTGGTCTGTGCTTTTTAAGTGTTACTGAATTCTGTTTGTTCCTGTTTGGTTAAGATCCTCAGTGGAATGCACTTGGTGTTTAGCTTGCTGGGAAAGCTCACTGGAGGCACTTGTGCAGAGACTCCAAGGGAAAGTATAGAGAACGTTTGGGAGGTCTGAAAACAGGGTCTAAGGAGATAGCCAAAGGAGGTGACTTAGTGTGGAGGAGAGAAGGCCAGAAGACCAAGTATGCTGCTTTTCTAGGATACTACAACCCTCAGTGGAGGTCACTCCAGTGGAAGTGTCAGGCCAGGGAAAGGGTTGGTAGCACCAGAGTCCTGACATCTGGCAGTCTCTGGACTGAGTGGAGCCAGAGCAGCATCAATGTGTTTTTGTTTGTCTCCTGGTGGTGGCAGATGTGAGTGACATCACACGTTTCCTCAGTGTGTTTAATGAGCCACATGCTGGGGTCATCCAGGCTGCACGACAGCTGCTGTCAGATGAGCAGGCCCCACTGAGGCAGAAGCTGCTGGCTGACCTTCTGCATCATGTGAGCCAGAACATTACTGCAGAGACCCGGGAGCAGGACCCATCCTGGTTTGAAGGTATGTGGACTGGGATGACTGTGGTGGCCAGGGTGTCTGGGGCAGGCAGAGAAGTGCCTCTTTGGAGCAGAGAGGCTCAGGGAGATCTCTGTCTATTTCAGATCCCAGTGCTTTGCAACCAAGGGTAGACTGGCCTTTGGAGTGAGTGATAACAAAAGGTGTGCATGGGAAGTTATCCAGCCAGGACTCATGGGTTGAGTCAGTGTCCTGGGCAGTCTGGAAATACATGGCACATAGACTTTACCACCTTACCATTTGAGGGAGGGGAGAGATAGTGGGGGAGGAAAAAGAGGGGGGGGGGAGAGAAAAGAAAGACAGGAGAGAGAGAAGAGAAAGGCAGGAGAGAGGAGAGAGGAGAGATGAAAGAGGAGAGAGGAGAGACAGAGGAGAGAGGAAGGAGAGAGAGGGGACAGAGGAGAGAGAGGAGAGGGAGAGGGGAGAGAGAGACAGGAGAAAGGAAAGAGGAGGGAGAGAAAGAGAGAGAGAGAGAGAGAGAGAGAGAGAGAGGGTTAGTTAGTTAAAGGATAACTGAGTAACGTTCTCAAGAATACCATTCATCTCCCTCAGATAGGGTCTCACTGGCTAGGGCCTATCGATTAGGCTAGACAGACTGGCCAGCAAACTTCCGGGATCTCTCCTATGTACTCCATATCATCCCTAGGGCATTTAAGGTACCTGATGCATTATAATCCTGGGAAAGTAGTAGTTGACTGGTCCCCAAGGAATAATGACGGGGAAAAAAAAAACAGTCTTGGGAGATGGCTCAGTGGCAGTACCTCCTGCTTAAGCATGAGTTTCGATCCCCAGCCCCCATGTAAAATCCAGGAGTGTGGTGCATGTCTAACCTCAGTATTGGGTACAGTCAGGCAGATGCCTAGGGTTTGCTGCTTAGCCAGTATAGCTCAGACAGTGAGCTTCAGGCTTAGTGAGAGACCCTGTCTCAGTCAGTAAGGGTGAGGAGGCATAGAGGAAGACACTCAGTGGTGACCTCCGCCCTTTGTGTGTGCATGCACGGATGCGCACACATATGCGCACACTCATGTACACCACATGCACACACACACAAACTTAAATCCTTTAAAACAGAGGGCAATCTCCATACTTAGTTCATATAGGATCGGTGGCGTGTGCCACCACACCTAGCCAGATGTAGATTTTTAAATGGTTAAGGTCTACAGTTGAGTGAATCTGCGGTACAGCAGATGAGGGTGCAGTTCGAGGTGCTCAGCGTGTTCCAGCACCTCTACCTTGTTCTGTCACCGTGACCTGCATTTGCTCTCAGGCCCATTTTATCTCCCACAGCCCGAGCTCTGTGGCTCTGCTGCCCAACCTCTCCCTCTCCAGTCTCCAGCTCTATAAATGGGACACCTCCACATGTTAGGCGCCACCTCCTGAGAGTAGAATTGTACAGTGTTTGTCCCGCCTGTGCGACTGTGGGTAGCCAGCGTCAGAGCGCTCTTCCTTTTTAATAATATCATCCTGTTGTACAGATGGGGCACTTTTGTCCATTTACCTGCGGGTGGGCACTTGGGATGTTCAGTCCAGATGGGTCTAACTTTGAGTAACTAAAAGTCTGAGGGTTCGAGGGCCAGCCAAGCGGAAACTTCTTGTCAGTGATTGAGATGCCTCATAAGCAGCTCCCCCAAATGGGGATCGTTCACACCACTTTCAGGTATCTCTGTGGGTGACGCAGCCCCCGGGACCCTCCTCCGCCCCTTCCTGGTTTGCTTGGCTCCTGAGCTGTGTGGGATGCAAACCAAGAGAGAGGCCGTGGTCTGCCTGTGGATTCCAGGACGCCATCTTTCTTGCAGGTTTGGAGTCTCGATTCAGAAATAAGTCTGGCTACCTGAGATACAGCTGTGAGAGCCGGATCCGGGGTTACCTGAGAGAGGTAAGGCCACGCTCAGGTCATGCTGTGAGCACTCAGCGGAGGGTGAGGATCTGTTGGTGGGGTTGTCACCCCTCTGCTGATGTATGTCTGTAAGGTTGCTACTAAGTCAGCAGAAGGCATGTGCACCTCAGAGAGGCGAGACCTTCCTGTCCCATGCATCCAGTCTCTTCTGTACTTTAGCCTCTGACACCGTTGTCCAGCAGGCATTAGAACCTTTCTGGGCTGTGCCCTTTGGTTAGGGTCAGAGGCCTCAGCCTCAGCTCTTACTCACCTTGTTTGGCAGAGCATGTGAGGTGCCCGTCACTAGGGAATGGTTCATCAGGTGAGCATTTGGGCCTTTCTGCACTGGGTTCTTCATGACTTCCTTCATCTAGATAGGGTCACATGACTCCCTTCATCTAGATAGGGTGAGCAGTTTGGGTGTCTTGGGGACAGTGGCTTGGTTCTTGGGGACCTTTTTCTCCTTTCTCTCCTTGTGGGCATATTTATCAACAGAAGCTTGGGTAACTGCACAGTAATTGGACAGCGCCATAGGCCTAGGGCCTCTCCATCTGTCTGTCTTTTATACTGTGTCACCCTTGAGCATCTTGGCTGAAAGTAGATCGTTAGGCTGCATTCTTCCTTCAGGCACACCCTCCACCAAGTCTTCTGACCCTGCTGTATAGCTTGAGCTAAGTGTTAGTGTCTGTGGGGAAAACCTGACCTGTGCATGTGTTCACAGAGGCCCCTGCTGTGTTGAAACTCCCTCCATTTCTCGTGGGTGTGGAGGACCTGCCTGATGAGCTGGCCTCAAGCCCTGATCACCTTGGTTCTCACTGAGGCCACTGCCTGCCTGCACTGGGCCTGCTGGGCTCTCAGGCTGTGTGTGCACTGGGTCTGCTGGGCTCTCAGGCTGTGTGTGCACTGGGCCTGCTGGGATCTCAGGATGTGTCAGCACTGGGCCTGCTGGGCTCTCAGGATGTATCAGCACTGGGCCTGCTGGGCTCTCAGGCTGTGTCTGCACTGGGCCTGCT